GTAATGCTATCGGCCAATAACACTCTAACAACTTCTCTTACATCTAAAATTCCTCTCCAAAAGCCCAATAGTTTCAACCTTTGTTTCCGCAATGGGTCTGCTGCTGCACACAGGAGCCGACTTTTCACTTGCACTGCTATTTACAATCCTCAGATTCAAATCAAAGAACAAGGCCTGCCCGAAACTTTAGATTACCGTGTCTTTTTCGTTGATGGTTCCGGCAAAAAGGTTAATACTTCCCTCAAAAATCAATTAATTAATCAGTTAGATATGTCAATGCCGAACTAGTTACAGTTTACTATATGAATCTGCATTCATTTCGTTCAATTTGACTTTGAATCGGTAACTCCTTGGGTATATTTATCACTCTATTGGAATATTATTCATTTCGTAATATCGAGTTTACTTCCAAAAAAAGATGAATTCAGAATTTTAAAAGTCGTGTATTGTTGCGTCCTACTTATGTTGAGACTTGGAGAGAGTAAAAATGATTTTTTTTGGAAAAAATTTCACGGATTGAATGCTTAATTTGGAGCTTTGTTCTGTCATTCTTGTTCATGTGAAATGTTGAGTCTTTGCACATGGATTTAAGTATATACTGACAGTGCAGGGAAGTTATATGTTGGTGTACTTTAATCTGTTGTAGCAGATTTTCCAAATTACCGATTCACGCCTACAAGATAGCTATAGTAGAAGTTCTTAACGCTATCAGTTTATAAAAGTTAAACTTTTTGCACATTGTCTCGATTAAGAAGATGCAGAGAAGAGGAAGCAACAAAGAAAATCCAATTAAAAGAAGGAAAAGAATGATGTCACATATAATTTTACTATATGGTGAAGTTGTCTCCGTGTGACCTATAGGTTACGCGTTCGAGCCGTGGAAGCAGCCACTAATGCTTGCATGTCTACATGGCACTCCAAGGCAGACCCTGCATGAACGGGGATGCTTCGTGCACCGGGTTGCCCTTTTTATTTCTTATAATGCCTGAAGGTTCTTCATTTTTGTTAACTTTCACTTGTCAACATAATTTTGAACTCTATAGTCCACATGAGCATATTAGTTCTGGTCACTGTTTTCACATTCATGTGATCTGCAGGTGTCCCCTTGGCATGACATACCACTGCATTTAGGTGATGGTGTTTTCAATTTTATTGCTGAAATTCCTAAAGAATCAAGTGCAAAGATGGAAGTTGCAACAGATGAGCTGTACACTCCAATTAAACAAGACACAAAGAAGGGGAAACTTAGATACTATCCGTAAGACAATTCTGTGTCACTATTTCCCAACTTACTTTTAGTATGATCTGTTACTATCTTGCTGTGTCAAGTGGACTAATCTATTTGGCCCATCAGTTTCCCTGTGGCCTGGTGCTACGTGAGTTAACTACTGAGGACCAATAGGGTTTAGTCTGTTGCCTAATGGTTGTTGTTAAACATTGACAGACACATCTCAATCATCAATTTTTGGCTGATAAGACTAATAGCTTTTCGCTCATATTCTGTTATGATAGTTGCATGAAATGATTATTTTCATGATGTCATGTTGGTTCTTTGTTTGATTTGATGCACGTCTTTGTACCATTCTCAGATATAATATTCATTGGAACTATGGATTGCTTCCTCAAACCTGGGAAGACCCTTTATTTGCAAATGCTGAAGTTGAGGGGGCATTTGGAGATAATGACCCTGGTATATTTTCATCACCCATAAATTGTTAAACGAGCTTTCTTCTAACCATCCATAAAAAAGGCAACAAATGATTTAGAGGACGGTGTAGCTGATTAACTTTCTTGATGACTAATTTGTATGTAGTTGATGTTGTTGAGATTGGGGAAAGCCGTGCTAAAGTTGGCCAGGTCTTGAAGGTCAAACCTTTAGCTGCTTTGGCAATGATTGATGAAGGAGAACTTGACTGGAAAATAGTTGCTATTTCCCTAGATGATTCCCGAGCGTCACTTGTCAATGATATTGATGATGTGGAGAAACATTTTCCGGTATGCTTGAATGCAATAAGGCTCTTATGTTTTTCACTCTTCTCTACTCTCAGACTGCTGATGATTTTACAAAACTTCATGCATCATCATTGTCTGGCACTCTTTTTGTTGTGCTGTTATATGTGTCCTGTTAAATATTTTCTCTTTATGGATTTTTCACCTTTATATGTTTATGGCTGTGTTCTTTGGTTTAGTTAAATTATCCATAATTTACTTCTTCAATAGTAACCAGTGATTAGAAGGTCTGAAAAGTTGGTCAATGATCATTGCCTTAAGAACAGCAATAGAAATAATAGAAAGAAGTAACTTTTATGCATAACAAGAGTGACCTTGCTGATTTCAGAAATTAGCTGCATACTTTGTTGGACTGAGAGTTTAAAGCAAGTACATAATGGTCAAAATTATCCAGGCAAAACTCCTCTTGTAACTGCTGGTGGACGAATCCTTCCAGCAAATCTCTAACCCTTCCTCGCAATCTCAACCATACAGCTTCTTCTCTCAAATGAATCTTTGCTTGAAGGAGGCCTAGTTCGTCTGAAGTAAAATCACCAGTCCTTATGTGAAGTTCCACCATTTAAGTTGCACAAAACAACTGGAGAAGTATGAAGATGGACACCAAATCTTGCTCCCTATTGTTTCTTGGCTATTATCGGCAATAGCCTCCTTATTAAATGTTAGTACGATGAATAAGAGAATAGCAGAGCATGGCAAGTACCCATACCATATATTCACGCGGAAAAGGCAAGAAATCTGGTCTTTACAACAATCCTCAAGGCTTTGTGTTATTTCCACAAACATTGCTGCATCGTGCAAAAACTGTCCCATTGCTTTTGATGATCCATTCACATTGCATGAGGAGAAATCTTCATTGCAGAGTTTCTTTGTTAAGTGAGGCTGCTTCATCTTCTTACTTGAAGTAACTACATGCACTTCTCAAAGTGTATCCTAGTCCATACATGGTTCCTCTACCCAGATCCTGAACTTCTATGATATTAGTGTTCCATGCCTTTTTTATGACCTTTACTGAACTGCATTCCTTCCATTCTTTAGTGCATCAATACCTGCAACTAGTTTAAATTCCTACTGGATCAAATCAGTTACGTGGTATGAAACTTTGGAGGTTCTCAACTGTGGTACTTAAAAAAGTCAATGCTGTATAGATGGTTGGGCAGTTTTGACAGAAAATTGTGGTTGAGCCGCATCCATATCTTGTGCATGTTTTTCCACTCTATTTAGTGTAGTAGTAATGATTACTTCTGATTTATCAAAGCTTGCTGTTGTTCTTAAGAACACTTACTGAAGAGATTTCCGTTCTGGCTGCTGAGTGAGGTTCCTTGATTTTATTTTGCTATCTCATATGGAGTGACCAAATGCTGTTGAACATTAACTGCAATAAAGCGGCAAACTTGTTCTATACTGTGCTTAAGTAATGCTTCAGTGCCTTTCGAAAAGCCAACACTGTTATAGCCTTTAACAGTGTAGGTTCAAAATGGTTATTTCAAGTCATGACTAAGATAGCTATTAATGAGATAAATCAGTACTTTGTTTATATGTCCTGAGATCTTCGATTCTTTTAACTTGTCAATATTCTCAAACTGATCCTGTGAATTTTTCAGGGCACTCTGACAGCTATCAGGGACTGGTTTAGAGACTATAAGATCCCTGACGGAAAGCCTGCTAACAAGTTTGGACTTGGAAACAAGCCAGCTAACAAGGTACCCTCTTCAACATTACTATGTTGATTTCTTCATACTGATGAAATATTGGGCAAATTTGTAAATATTTGTTGAAGATCCTTGTTTCTGATTTTCTGTGTATCTATTAGTGTGTTGAGATATGCATTGAAAGAGACCGTTCTTAAGTTTCTAATGGTTGTTGGTGCTAAGCAAAATTTTGACCTCCACATTTGAGGATCGCCTTTAAGTTATTCCACGTGAAGATAAATTCTCAGTCCCTCTTCCGCAGTGAATAATTAAATAATATCTTGCATGTGTTTTCCTGTTAGAATGAATCATTTTTAGCACATAATGACATGAATGAGTGAAGTAATTGTATTTAATACTTCTGCAAACATTTAATCTCCCAATGCTCCAAAACGAACGTAAAACAAAGGAGACTAGAAAACTTTGTCCAGTTAGACAAGCCTGTGCTACCTGGCTTTGCATAGTTAGAATTGCCTGTTCTGCTTTTTTTGCATGACCCTGCTGATTATCTTATTCCTTTTCAATCACAGGATTATGCACTTAAGATTATTACGGAAACCAACGAGTCTTGGGCAAAGCTTGTTAAGAGATCTATCCCTGCTGGTGACCTTTCCCTTGTGTAGATGCAAATTGATAAAGCTTGAACAGCTAGTTTTTTTGCTGTAAACTGAACTGGATGTTGAAACCCTAGTAATTCTTTTACTCTCTCCTCATGTGTGAGGTGGGAATGAGTTCATAAGATTCACTCAGTATAAAAAGATACTGCTTTTTCATCTGTGCCTTCTGCATGAATTTGACTTTTAAAGCTATCCGAGAGGAGAAAGATTCAGATATAGCTTAATTGATCTTCGACCTCTAATTGCATCAACCAAGAAGTATCAATGTTTCTTGGTTACAAAGTTACAGAGATATTTGCAAGCTTCCAGGGTCTTGCATGATTCCACATATCCCATTTTCCATTAGTTGCAGTCGCAAGTCGCAACGGTTACATAGTTTGTAGCTTCTGAACTACTCTGCCATGAAATCAGACAATGAGTGAGATTCATCCATTGTGATTTCTGGAGTTGCATCTGATCTTTTCTGAACTGGAAGAAGCATTCATACGAATGATGAGCTGTTTTCTGGAGAAAGTGATACGCTTCCATAGCCAAATTTTAGCAATACTACTATTGGTAAAATGACTCAGATTACTATTGGAGATTGGCACTTAAAACGTATGTATTTGCATAGACTAATGGGCATACATATGGATAAAATTTCGAAATCATAGACTCTCTTTGTGTTACAGTACAGGATCTGCACATGGTGTTTATTGATCGGGAGAAAGCGTATGACAATGTGCCTAGAGAGGTTCTTTGGAGATGCCTAGAGGCTAAAGGTGTTCCGGTTGCTTACATTAGGGTGATTAAGAACATGTATGATGAAACTCAGGTTAGGACAGTGGGAGGCGACTCTGAGCATTTTTCGGTTGTCATGAGGTTACACCAAGCATCTGCGCTCAGCCCATTCTTATTTGTCCTGGTAATGGATGCACTGACACACCATATTCAAGGGGAGGTGCCATGGTGTATGTTATTCGTTGACGACATAGTTGTGATAGACGAGACGCGAAGCGGCGTTAATGAGAGGCTGAAGGTTTGGAGACAGGCCCTTGAGTTTAAGGGTTTCAAGTTGAGCAGGACTAAGACGGAATATCTTGAGTGCAAGTTCAGTGCTGAGCCGAGGGAAGCAGGCATGAACGTGAGGCTTGGATCGCAAGTCATTCCCAAGAAAGGTAGTTCCAAGTACCTTGGGTCAGTTATCTAGGGAGATGGGGAAATCGACGAGGATGTCACACACCGTATAGGGGTAGGGTGAATGAAATGGAGGTTAGCATCTGGAGTCCTATGTGACAAGAAAGTACCACTGCTACTCAAAGGTAAGTTTTATAGAGCGGTGGTTAGACCGGCCATGTTGTATGGGGCTGAGTTATTACATCCCGTAATTTTATATGTTCAGTTCATCATAAGTTAGTCGAGGTGAGCTCAGAGAGCAAGAAAATTCTCAAGTATGAGTGTTTAAAACATGTATAGCACATGATGGAAGGTTTAGAAGTTAAACAAATCAAGAGAATAAATTTCGCCAATATAATGTAACACCTCGTACCTTAGTGTTTGGATATGTCGTAGTAAAACCATGTGAGTTGGAAGAGATTAATATCGTACATGAGGTCATAGATATAGGACCCCGTAAGTTTGACGAATTTCGAAACCGTTATATATATATATTGCCTTGATATGATATTTTCTTTTAAGTGCGTCAATTATTCTAAAAGTTTGGCAAATATGATTTTATATAGTTATTAATAGTACTACTTTTTGGATAGGATTTAAATTATACACATGATATGAGGAAGTTTATAAATGAGATTTTTTTATTATAATGGTAGAATTTATCTTCTAATAAGAAAAAAAAATTATCTTTTTACCATTTTAAGAACTTATAGTACAAAAATTGTACTCTTGATATTTGGATGGAAAAATTATAATTTGAAAGCATATATTTTCTAGATGTCATAATGTTTATGATATATTAGTATAGTTTAAATTTATAAAGCACTTATGAATTTTTTTAATAATAGAAATGTGATGAGTTGTTTATCAAATGAATTAGATAAATTAATTGAAAAATAACCATGTGGGTGCATGTAAGGGGGGTTATCATATTATATATGTTATGGTTATATTTTATTAGATGACCATGTGTCATCAATTAAGGAAAGAGTGGAAGGGGGAGGATCCCACGTGTAAGGAGGGAGTGATATATACATATGTAGCTTATCTCACTTTAGGAGATGGATGGCTTAAGGAATACATATGCAATACCTTGTATTAGGTAGTGAAAACGTGAGTTATGAAGGCATCACCTTCTAATTTGATCTTCTTCGCTTCAGCTCAATATTTTGTGATTTGAGATATAGTAACAATACTAATTCCTTTCCAACATAGCAGTAGCATTCTCTTTCCATTAATAGCAGCAACGCTAAGTTAACCAAAGACGGATTTGAGATATGTTAAAGCTATCCCTTCTTTCCTTTTGGCATGATCCATACTATACAAACGAAACGAGCAAACACACAACTTTCATAAATGCCTCTTTTCATAAAAGCACTAGGGGTGCATATCTCAGGAAAATACGTAGTTGATAAAGGTTTATCCGAAGGCATATTGATCTTATGACATTCTGAGAGATCTTATTGACTTACTTCATTATGCATTGCAATTATTTATACATGTACATTGACTCATGATCAGATGACGTTATATACGCGTATATTATATGTATATGGGGTATGAGAAAAGATTACAGCGTTATATACGTACCACCACCTGATCAGATGGTATACGTTGATGATTTCGCTCACAAAAGTCGAGATGATATGATGGGATGCCCTCACAGGCTTGATGATGTTATGTACGCATATACATATGCATGATATGACATTTATATGCACATGCATGATATTATAAATGTTTCAGGATTCACAGAGCTATTTAGACTTACAGGTGGATTCCTTTACTCCATGTTTCTTTTATGTCTTTTATGTACTGATTTTCACGCCTTACATACTCGGTACATTATTCGTACTGACATCCCTTTTGCCTGGGGACGCTGCGTTTTATGCCTGCAGGTGCAGGTAGACAGGCTGATGGTCCCTCTTCTTAGGATCCTAACTCAGTGAGAGTTGGTGTACTCCACTTGATCCGAAGCTGTTATTAATTTTGATACGCTATTTTTGTATGTGGATATGGGTACGACGGGGCCCGGTCCCATACTTTATATAGTTGTACACTCTATTAGAGGTCCGTAGACAGTCATGTATAGTTGGATAGTATGTGGCCTTGTTGGCTTCTAGTTTTAGATATATAGTTGTCTATAGCAGCCTTGTCGGCTCGCCCTACCGTATTGCGCATGTATATGTATATATGTATTTTGGGTATGTTTTTCTCACGTATGTTATTCACGTGATTCAGCAGTTTATTAACAGATGTTATACATGACCTACCCTTAATTCATGTTTATATCTTAGACGCATGCTTAGGGGTGTTCGATAAGTAGGACTTGGGCACTCGTCATGGCCAGTAGGTTTGGGTCGTGAGAAAAGTGATATCAGAGTAGTTCTGTCCTAGGGTTGTCTACAGACTGTGTCTAGTAAAGTCTTGTTTATGGGTGTGTTGTGCACCATACTTATAGACAGGAGGCTACAGGATATTTAGGATGGTTACTTTTCTTTCTGATCTAGATTGTGCGATAGAACTGAGTCGTAAGTATTCACTTCTAAGTTTTACCTTATTTATGTTCTTAGTGATGCCTATTACTACTAGACGACAGGCTTAAGCCGCTAGTACGGGTCAGAAGTCTATAAAAGTGTTAAAAGGAGATATAAGTTACACTATGGAGTCAGACCCATCGGAGATCATGGGTTCTATTGAGGAGGATCCTTTCGAGGATCCATATGAGTCATCCGTTCGAGTAGTTTCAATTTTGCAGGCAGCAAATGGGGTGAGATGAGTTTCGACCTCACCAAGGCCCTTAGTTTCATTATCAGGGCCCGTTGATCAGGGTATAAGGGGAGTGGTGCACAGATTGGCACAGTCGGGTTCCCCTCAGGCTCAAAACTATGTCAGGGTATTTACGGACACCAGCTCTTCTGAGGTGCCAGATAGTCCAGTCTTGGGAATCTGTTAATCAACGTTCGTTTGTGTATGTCATGGGATATGTATAGGAATAGGAGAGTAGTCGGGCCAAGAGGAAGAAGGTAGCTAATAAGGGTATGAAGATTCCGCTTCGACGTGTGTCTGATCGAGGCTCTCATATAGGACGAGGCGAGGACCCTCCACTGTAGGCTGCCTCCAGATATCAGCTTTTGGTTGGTGAGCTCCACTTCTTCCTGGAGTATTGGCAAGTCAGGTTCTGTATATGTTATGTTGTTTTATGAGGACGTCGAGAGCCTTGTCTCGATTTATATATATTATGGTCATGTTTTCTTAGAGGTTTTGCAGATAGTATCCTGTGTATAGTTTTGGGTATGACATGTCGACGGCCTTGTCGGCCCCTATGTATCTATATAAATCTTTTTTTTGAATTATTTATGCGAGTTAAGTTCTAATATTTTTACTTATATATATAGAAATGGCCTGTAATGGCCCGTGATAAGTTTGATAATAAACAAGGATAAGGTACGTGGTGCTCGGTTGAGTAGACCCTGGGTGCCAGTCGTGGGCCTCTGGCTTGGGTCATGATAAACTTGGTAATGTTGCATCAATACACAACCCAATCCAACGCCTGAAGCGTCACAATAGATAGCATAACCATTGGTTCCCCCTGGGAGTGTCAGAATCGGTGTTGAAGCCAATCTGTCCTTCAATTCCTGGAAACTCCACTCAAAAGCATCAGTCCACTGAAACTTAGCTCCCTTCTGAGTCAACTTGGTCAATGGTGCTGAAAGAGAAGAAAATCCCTCTACAAATCTCCTGTAATAATCTGCCAAACCCAGGAAGCTACGAACCTCCGTCGGTGTCGTGGGTCTAGGCCAAGTTTTCAGTTCCTCAATCTTCTGAATATCAACCCGGATACCTTTACCTGAAATAATATGCCCAAGTAAAGCTACAGAATTCAACCAACCCACGATTTAGAGTTAACCGTGGTGATTCATGCACTAAAGATGTGGAGACACTATTTGTATGGTATTCATGTTGATATCTATATGGATCATAAGAGCCTTCAGTATATCTTCAAGCAAAAGTAATTGTATGTTAGAGGAGATGGTTAGAGCTACTAAGTCTATGACGTTGATATTTTATACCATCCGAGGAAGGCGAATATAGTAGCAGACGCCCTCAGCCGTAGATCTATGGGTAGCCTGTCATATTTACAGCCCAAGAAGAGTGGAATGGCCTATGAGATTCATCAGCTAGCTAGTCTTGGAGTTCGATTACTGGACTCAGGTGATATCGGAGTTACTATTCAAGACACAACAACATCCTCTTTAGTAACTGAAGTGAAGGAACGCCAGTAAGAGGATCATGTGCTAGCTCATTACAGAGATACAGCCCCTCAGAAGGAGAAGACACCATTTGAGATTTTAGGAGATGGAGTCCTCAGATATCGAGGACGATTATTTGTCCCTAATGTTGCAAGGCTGCGCCGGTACGTTATGGGAGAAACTCAATATTCTCGATATTCTGTTCATCCAGGAGCGACGAAGATGTATCACGATATCAGGGAAATATACTGGTGGGACGAAATGAAGAAGGATATAACAGAGTTTGTTGCTCAGTGCCCTAATTGTCAGCAGGTTAAGATTGAGCGTTAGAAACTCGGTGGATTATTGCAGGCTATAGATATTCCTACTTGGAAATGGGAAGTAATTAATATGGATTTCGTCATAGGCTTACCTCGTACCCAGTGTAAGTTCGATTCTATATGGGTATTGTTGATAGACTTACAAAATTAGCACATTTTCTGCCTGTCAGGACTAC